GCATTTATCGCAGCTTGTGTGTTCTCGAATTGTAAGTACACATGACCAGCGGTATTCCTGCCCGTTGACATGAATGTAAGTCAGACATGTGCAAGAGACAAAAGACAACATAACTAATGCGAACAAACTTACTTGTCTACAAAGATATGCCTCAAATTCCCGTATTTTGAACACTCCTCCTGAACATCTTCTTTAATGTCCAAGTCAAAGTTTGGTTCCGTCTGCTCAAAAAGGAAGACAAATTATATAATATAACCACCAAGGGAATGAAGAAAATCTCTCAGTATCAGAAGAATCCACCACCAACCTCAACTGCCGGATCAAACATATTTTTCAACAGTAAACATTCGCTTGGAACACCAACTGTATCTATAGAAGGAAGAGTAGCAGTAGGAATTTGAAGACCAGCAACACCAAGTCCAGAACCCTTAATTTACAAAGTAGCCAATCACAAAATCGGCCTAGGCGGGCGGCTAGGCGGTCGATAGGCGGCAAGGTGGTTGCTAGGTGAGTTCGAGGCGGCTAGTCGGGCACAAGGCGACTAAGCGGTCGCTAGGTGGGCACACGGCGGCTAGGCGGTCGCTAGGCTTCTAGGCGGACCCTAGGCGGCTAGGGCGGTAGCTAGGCGGGCACCTAGGCGCGGGTTGGGTCTTTTTTCGTTGCCGGACCCGCAGGACGAAGCAGCCGAAACCAAAGAAAACAAATCGAAGCTTGACTGGGAGTGCAAGTTCCGTCATCTGCAAGTGCAAGCTTTGTGGTTGTCTTGAATATAGTATAGCCGCTCGGCAATGTATTTAGAGGGTATAGCCGAGCGGCTATACGTTTAAAATATTCAAACATATTCCAAGAGTATAGCCGATCGGCTGTACTCTTTAAATATACAATTTTGTCATTATTTTAGGGTTTAAGGCTAAAATAGAGAAGAAAGCTACAACTGCACATCATTTCTCATTGAAAAATCAACAAATTATATGTCCAACACCAACTCACTCTTAATCTAATGGTGTTTCTCTTTTCAACGTCGTTAAAAGATATTTCAAGTTCAAATCTTATTTCCCCTGTTGTTAATAAAGATTAAAAAGAAATTTCCCCTTACAGAAACTCCATGCAAATTACAAAATGACAAAAGAAAAGTTCTTGCACTAATATGATTGACATGTAAGGTTACATGCAAATCACAATTATATATGCAGAGGACGTATCATTGCATTTAAGAGATGCTGAGCTTTCCACAATCAAAATCGGCCTTCTTCAACCGCAAACCAGCCAGGATTGGAGATAAAAATTTGTCCCTAAAGAAGTTCATAAATTTTCCATTACTCTCTTGTAAGAAACCAACCACATAAGATGTACTAATCAGATCAAAGCTTCTCCATCTCCTCTCGTTGGCATACTTGTTCAACCCCATCTCAATCCTCTCATACTCTTCCTTTCCTTCTTCACCCTCCTTATCTTTTGTTTCTCCCCCTGAGTTCTTCAATAAGGCCTCACCAAGACACCTTGCCAATACAACGCTGTCTTCTAATGCACAGCAGCCCCCTTGGCCAATGTCTGGGGTCATGGGGTGGAGCGCGTCCCCTGCGACACAAGCATTGCCTTTGCTGATGTTTCCCCAAAGAAGCTCCCAGGGATGCCTATATCTCAATGGAGAGGATATAAAAGCATCCAATTCGGTGTTTTCTACCACAGCTTTTACTTCATCAGGTATCTTTCCGAGCTTGCTTGACATATATTGCTTCAGTTGAGCTGGGTTCTCTTCTAGTTCTTTCTCTACAAGACAAGAAGAATAAACAAAAAAATGTAACATACAGATGCTGGTTCAATTGCAATTACATACTACAAACACTTATTAGCAGCCAACATGAAGTCCTAAAATTTCTGAATTGAGAAGGAAAAAAATTATCGTCTTGTCTAGATGCTGAGAGTAACATAGTACGTATGAAACATTCTATCACGGGTTTTTTATTTGTGATGAGATTGAGGTCTGAAAACCATTTTGAAGCATACCGATACCGGTGCCACAATGCGGTGAAACAGTACCATATCTAAGGTTCTATCTTAAGTTATATTTTTAGCCCCAAGGATCAGTCGTATGTTTGAGCCTTGAGGGTACCAAAAGGAAACACGGAAGCAAAAAAATCCCCAAAATTTGTGTGAAAGCTTACCTTGGCTAGAGGGAGTCCAAGTAATGTACCAGTAAACATTTGCATCATCACAAGGGACGGCACCAGATCTAATACCATTCCCAAAGTACTGCATGAACATGGGATCAAATCCATGACTCCTCTTGAAGGTAGCACAACCTCTAATAGCAGATCTCCCTGTAAATGCCGGCTGCTTAAAGCCGAGCCATTTTGCCACCACGGAGTTCACTCCATCACACCCAACCAAGACCTATTCAATCACAACATTATTACCGTAAGTGACTAGATAAAAGTACCTAAAAAATTAAGTATTCCATCCAAAAAGAGATGATGTTATGTTATTGGTTTACACCCATCAAACAGATACTCTGCTTAAAAATGAATAAGTAGTCCCTAAAAAGTGAAGCTGTTCTAACGGCGTACATGTCATAAAAGTTTAATTTGCCTTGTGGAACCAACCTAGTTAGGAAGTCCCTAAAAAGTGAAGCTGTTCTAACATGTCGAAATAGCAAAAGGGTTTTGGTTCAATTGGGACAGTCTAGCAGGCCATGGCGGATCCGAGTGGCACCGACCTGTTATCCTTCCACTGCCAAGAGCGGGAGGTAATCGTTGCTCTGTGAAGCCAGCCTTACGCAGTGCCCTCCACTCTAGAAACCCAGTGACCCAGAGCCTTCGCTCAAGCCACAGGGTTCAACTCCTGGCTTGGAATGGGCGGGCCAGAAGATAGCCAACCCGAACCCGACCAGCTAATACTGAAACAATGTTCCAGCACCTCAAAGCCCCCACTCGGGTTACAAGCTCACGTTGCTGAGCTCGGCGATCCACCTTCCTCCTGTTAGGGTTATGACTGGTGGTTTTTTATATCAACCGAGCGATGTGGGATAAGTTGCAAGAGCGAGTGCCTCTTTAGGATAAGATCTTGGCCTTCAGATAATGACTTGACTTTTGCAAGGGTTTTTTCAGGGAAAAATAGAGATAAAAAGGAAAGATCAGTCTACCTTGGCTTTGAGGATGGTCCCGTCTGCAAGATGAACCAGCTTAAAGTAGCCCGATTCGTCAACGGAAACCACCTTGGATGATAACCTGACGGTGCCACTAGGGAGTTCATTTGCAAGGCCATCCAACAACAACTTCCTTTTCACACATCGAATTTCATGGTCTCCGCTGCACATCATGTACATTCTCAATCATTTGAGCATGCTTGAATATGGATACTAACAAAATCATTTAAATAGAATCTAGCAAACAATTGATTTCCAGTATTAAGCATCAAGTAAGATACTTTTCGCACTTAAGCTATTGATAAACTTACTGCTTTCCTTTGGCCTTAAATGACATCTCAAACGTTTGAAGCCCTGTAATTCTTGAGGAAGTCACATTCCTGTACATTCAAATCTCTACAATCAGTTTCGTGCGTGCAAAAGTAGAACTTAGTAAGTACCAGCAAACATGTTAGGACTGATTTTGCTTAACTAACGGTCGAGATTGGCAATCTGAGAACATAACATGTTAGGATAGTTGAAGGAGCAAGAGAGAGTGATGCATGGAGAGAAAATTACCCATCAAGTGTGACATGTTGTTGGCGAAGAGAATCGGCAACACCAAGGGCATCTAAGGCCTTCCATGCATTTGTCCATGTTGACAATGCAAAACCTGTTGTCCTCAAACTATCAGATGATTCCAACACCAAGCTTCTAATCCCCAGCCTGCATCCAGAAATTTCAATTTTGATATTAACCATAGTAACAAATATATGAACCATGAACAGTAACATATGTGTGTATGAGAGAGAGAGAGAGAGAGAGAGAGAGAGAGAGAGAACCTGTGAAGTCCTAAGGATGTTGCGAGGCCAGAAATTCCAGCTCCCACAATCACAACATCTGCTTCTGCTTCCATGTTGTACTTGATTATGCTCTGGAGACTCAGGCTTTTACTTCTTATACTTGGGTTTTGATACAGTGTGGAAAGAGAAGAATAAAGATATATACACAAAAGAGACCAGTGAGAATGATAGATGACTATATTATTCATATTTGTGATGGGGATGTAAAGGTCAGGTATAATTGAGCAGAAGATGACGATGAGGATGACGAATGACGATTGGCGGTCTTCAATGCTGACAGCAGCAGACAGTGTTTGGGTTTGACTTCCCTTCTCTTCTTCTGTTTTGACTGTGGAGGCAAATCAAAATAAATCGTGGGTTGTTTCAAGTTTAAACCCGCAAGATAATCATCGGGAACTTCTTCTCTAGTTCAGCTTTTTCTTATGATTGTATAATGGAGGAGGTGCATGATGACTTTTTTGAATCCAAAACAGTTTGGCATTCTCTCTTGCAAAATAGTTGCAGCATCCGAAATACTTTTTCTCAAGTTGCAGAGTATAGCCGGTCGATTATACTATTTTTTTAAATCCAAAAAAACCGGGTACAGCCGATCGGCTATACTATTTATAATTAAAAAAGGCCCGCCATCCTATTAGGCGCCCACGTGTCAAAATAAGTAGAGTCGATCTGCTATACTATTTATAAGACCCCCACCCATTATTTAGGCACCCATACGTTCAAATGGGTATAGCCGCGAGGCGATACCATTTAATATAAAAAAATTGAGAAAAACGGAGCTTTTATCTTTTCTAATTTTCTTGCATCTCTTTTCTTCATTTTCGTTTTACATCTCCCTCTTCCTTTTCATTCTTTAATCGAAAAACATAAACAAATAGTCTTTTATTTTTTCTTTTTTCTTTTTTCTTTTTTCAGAAAATACGAAACAAGGACGTACCACCAACGGTTATTTAAATTTGAAGGTTAATGCGTAAAAGAAATTGCGTTGAATTTTTTCAAGTTCTGACAAAACACAATTTGTAGTTCAGGCGAGATGAATCTTGCAAATATATGAAATCCTTCTATGAGGCAGTTTAGTGCAGACAAATATTATAACATTGAAAGTTGTTGACAAATGAGAACATCAATAAGTCTACAAACCCATATCTGTAACTGTAAATTCACATGGCACCCTGGCGGTAAAAATTTCAAGTTGATGTACATCTAACTTTTGACCCATCAACAAATTCCAAATGCTGAACTGAGCGTGACATTCTTTCTTCTCACACAAAAAGCCCTGAGGATAATTCATTAAATACTCTCTCACATGAAAATTGGACCCAAAAGGCTAACCACCAACAGGCATTACCAGCTACGTTTTCTACATTTCCAATACTGCATATAATAATCCTATCTGCTTTCCGGGAATTTAGCCTCATAGTTCTGGGGCAACTGCAAAGATGAAAATATATTTTTTTAAACGAGATGTTCCAAAATGATATATATATATAGAGTCACAAACATATGTAAGTACCATGAACGTTGCCTCAATCATCTTTCCGGCAAACCATCTTCCATGGAGAACATGCCGAGCATTTATCGCAGCTTGTGTGTTCTCGAATCGTAAGTACACATGACCAGCGGTATTCCTGCTCATTGACATGAATGCAAGTCAGACATGTGCAAGAGACAAAGGACAACATAACTAATGCGAACAAACTTACTTGTCTACAAAGATATGCCTCAAATTCCCGTATTTTGAACACTCCTCCTGAACATCTTCTTTAATGTCCAAGTCAAAGTTTGGTTCCGTCTGCTCAAAAAGGAAGACAAATTATATAATATAACCACCAAGGGAATGAAGAAAATCTCTCAGTATCAGAAGAATCCACCACCAACCTCAACTGCCGGATCAAACATATTTTTCAACAGTAAACATTCGCTTGGAACACCAATTGTATCTATAGAAGGAAGAGTAGCAGTAGGAATTTGAAGACCAGCAACACCAAGTCCAGCAATACCAGGAACAGCGGTGATGGGTGGAACAAGAGGAGAAACCACTGGTGCAGCTCCCAGGAGTGGTGCCGTTGGTAGTGCCATTGGTAGAGAAACACCAGGGCTATTGACAGCAGGAGTGCCTAGGGGACCAGCAATACTGCATACAAAGCCAATTTAAGACCAACTAAAACAATTCAAAATAGAATAAAGTGCTCAGAAAATACCAACCCTGATCCAGAGCCACTGCGATCCAATTTCTGCATGAGAATTGCCCGAGAGCGTGCATTCAATGACTGTAAGATTAATAAAACAATACGTCAATCACCTTCACTCAGGTCAACAACAAAAATTATGCAGTGCAGACGCTCTTTCTATGCCAAACTATCACCCTCGGCTTTGCAGTGCTGATGTCTGCAATGCCTTGAGAGACAATGCATATCTTACTAGTTAAAGCAAAAGGGAGGGATAAGTGCCGAAACCAGTAAAATGATTACAAAATTCATGGATGCTATGTTATTTTGAATTATCAAGCTCAACTTCAATAATCTGCTAGCAAAAAAAAACAATCTTAAATGAGCAATCTTTCCAATATCAAAGGTTAAAAAGCTGGCAGGAGTGCAAGAGATGGTAGTTCAAATTATTTTTTGACCTCATTTTTCACCTAGGAGAATGAACTCTAATCATTTAAGAAGTAAGAAATATATATCTACTCAAATAAATAATAGAACAATAAACACAAAAGATACTAAGCCAATCGAACCAACTATAGATACCATAAGCATCAAGCAGCAAAAAAGCTTAAAAGCAATGGAGCAGCAGCAGCTTCCAACAATTATTCACAGATATTACTCAGCCAGAGCAAACAGTTCTTAGCAATCATATCAGTCCACAAATTCTTTGTGTTAATAGAAAATAAAAAAATAAAAGGAAAGATCTTACTCACCAAGCCACCACCTTCATCGTCATCAAAATCACCGGCATTTGCTCCAAGATCTTGCATTCCAGCTTGGTCTGTAACAGCTGACACCTAAATAGAAAAATGAGGACACGGGTAGATGAACTCCCAAATTACTTAATATATGGTTTTAAGCAAAATCATCCGTTTGGGAAACCATAAGGATGCACAATTATGTAACAATGCAACGACTTCTGAAAACCTGAATCTAAAGCATCATTCTAAGTGGCAACTCTGATCCACCCTATAAATCTCAGAATGATAGCAGTTGGTGACACATCGCCACAACACATTCAAATATTTCAAAACACAAAAGCAAAACGGCTTCTATTCCAGAAATACCACAATAACTATTTAAGACCATGATACTAATAGTATCATCAACTAGTGCTTGAAGTTATCGGTAAAATTACGTGCTACAACAATCTGCACATTATGAGAAGTTCACCACATCAACTACGTGCTACTCAATGTGCGCATTAACAAAAACCACAGCTCATGCACTATTGCACAGTAGGCCTGCTGGGTTTTGCTACCTTACAGTGATCACACTATATAATCCATTTGGACAATGAAAGGCTGAACAGAGTCAGCAACGGAAAATTCCAACAATCAAATAAATACATGCCATGTCAAAAAAGCATCGCCAAATTAACCAGAGGAACTAACATACCAGTAACACACACAACCTAATTGATGAACTTGGAAAGAGTACACAATGCAAGCATATTTCTGGAGGAAGAAATATAATAACAATATAGTAAAGTGCCATTACCTTAATAAGTCGACCTGCAATCTCCAATTGTCCATTCAAACTCAGTGCATTTCTAGCATCTTCAAGACGTGAGAACTGCAAGCAAGTAACTGATTCAATGAGTTTGATTTATTCAATACAATTACAAGGAATCATATCCAGCATCTGATAAGAACAACTGGAATGGAATTGAACTAAAAGGAAGGGAAAAAATACATCGCCAACCCAGCTTGATTTCATTGGCCCTTCAGGTTTTAAAATATTGTAACCTGAAACTGTATGATGGGTTGACCCTTAACCCAACCCATGCCCGCACCTAGCTAAGGATTTGGCAGTTGGAAGTTGTTGGTGCCCAATCTTCTCAGTTTGAGTTGGGAAGAAACTTGAAAGACAATACACTAGATTCTTTTTAAATTCTGGTGCAGTAGAAGACCCAATCAAGAAAAGGTGTGCATTTGTTTGGAGTCAATTTCAAATTCCAACTCAAGCTACAACGAACCGGCAGTTGACAGTTTTCTTTTTCTTTCCTTTAATAAATTTCCCCTACATGGATTTGGACTTGAAAATAAATATAAATAAATAACAGAACTGAAGGATGCCAACAGTCTTTGAAGTTTTAATTAAACCATGTTATGGATTGCTTGTTGGTTGACCTTTGGCTTAATATAACTAGCTGCATGCAAACATTTATATATTTATTCTATATCCAGGCTGCTTAAGTTGAAAGTTGTAGTCAAACAGACCTGCACAAATCCAAAACCTTTGCAGTTGTTAGTTTCGTCAACAGGTAACTGAACCAGTTCTACAGGACCAAATGCTCCAAAAACCTGCATATATATCACATATTAAAGGGTGAAAGTCAAAATGCAAAACATATTCACAATTACAAAGACGAAATTAGGAAACCGTGAACAGAAGTGCTCAAAAGCAACCAAAAAAAAATTACATAACCAACAGCAAGCTTGATTATGTACATTATCTGATGCCAACATTAGATCTGTGTCAGAAAAGTACTCACCTGGCGGAGATCGTATCTGATGCCAACATTAGAACTGTGTCAGAAAAGTACTCAACAGCCTTCTAGCTCCGCCAGAATATGGGCCTATCATCCCACCTGGTCCGCTAACCACAGATGTTGATTGAACCAGATTCTTCTCAGCCTCTGATGGCTTCACCATCACTGGTTGACCAAGAAGAGGCTGACCAGAAAGTGCAATCGCCATACCGACATTGCATCATAAAACTCAATATACCTACAAACTAGACAACATTAGACTCTTGGATAATCAAAAACCAATTGCCACATTCACACATAGTTCAAAATGGGGAAAGAAAAATGTCCTATATGATATATCTGATCATCTTGACCAACTAGAATAACCTGTAGTATATACTATATGTACTGCTTTTAGTACAAAGGCGATCAATATCATCGTAAACTTTCTAAGATGATGGTGCAAATTTTGAACATTGTAAATGATGTGATGATTCTTCGTACTGCACAAGAAAACGTTGGAACAAGGAAGATGCAGCCATCAAGAAGGAAGCAGGAACTGCCAACCATTCCAAAAATGACCAAGCGACATTAAAAGGATAGTCTTATTTGAACCTTAGAATGAAATCTTTGGTTTCTTGTCAACACAACCATATAAACTTTTTCATTAACAACCGGATAATTTAAGACTCTCACATCATCTTAAACGCTACCATTGCATAATGGGTAATTGTTAAAGTGAACCTTCTGTTAACAACCATCCAAAGATTTTGTTACCAAGACATAAGAAAAACTTACCCAACTCCCTTAGAACGTCTTGAATTGCGATCCATAATGAGGCGTACATCGCGGACCTAAAAATACACAATTCAGAGCTATTAGAGAGACAATCATAGAAATATACTAACAATTACATCCACAGAAGAACTTAATGGAAAACGTTATGGGTTTCCAGTATTTGGTTTAGTTGAAGCATTGCATCAGATAGTGTTAGGGTGCCCTTGAGAGTAGAAGGTGAAAATATAATGCATTTATATCAAGAAGTCCCTTTTAGCTAAATAGTTTAAGATATTTATCCACCATCCTCTATGATTTGTTAAATGAACATGAGATAAATAAACGAGAAACGTACAAACCTTGCCAGCCCTTGAGAAGAACTCGTATACATCTCTTTCATCTGCCTTCAGACAAATCTGTCAAAGTTGTTCACCATATCTTAATAGTTAAGACATGAGAATGTGAAAGATAGAAAGTTCAAGATAACACCATAGAATGCATGCACCAACATATTTGCTTTACCTGATAAGCAAATACCGTCCTCTGATCTCTTTCAGGATCAGCCTCTGGTTCTGTCACTTCTTCCTTCTTGTCTTTATGTCTTCTGCAAAAGAGAAACCAAAAATTGACAACAATTGTAATATTATTGACAAAACATTAATAAATGAATCCAGGGGAGAACATGTCAAGACAACACATGTATAGATCAAACATAGAATATCCTTGGATCCTCAAAATGGATAAAATCTCTCAATTTGGCAAAGAAAACAACCTTAAATGATAAACAGAAAGGAATAAAAGAGTATTTCCAAAATGGCAGCAAATTTTTCTCCAATAGTGAGTAAAGGCTGAACCCATGAATCATAGTTCTGCAGGGAACTACACAAAGTTAAAATGAAATTGCCAATGTATGTAGATGGTGACCATAAGAGCCTTTGTTATCGTAATCATAAATAGAACCAATCTGGAGTACATTATGGCAATTAGGTGAAATGGGAACATTGATTCTAAGCAGGTAATGTATGCAATCCAACTTCATAGGATGGACTAACAACAGATTTTGTACCTTATATAAGCAATATAATGTTAAATGAAACAGCATCATCAAGTTGTATGGATGGCAGTACCAAAGGACCTAGTTGCAATTATCTGGAACCTGTTAGAAGTTTTATTCCAGTGAAAGAATCACAAACATACAGAACAAAATGATACCTATAAACTAAAAACACAGACTATATCTATTTGCACAGTCACACCAAAACATAACGTTAAAATGATGCGAGTGTTATAACTATGATTCTCAATAAGAAAGCTTGCAAATATAGAACACAATATTGATCTTAAGGTGAGACCTCTAAGATGAGCAATCTGCATAAGTTTCTCATTATGGGAATAAAAGCTTGCAGGTGAGTATATATATGTATTAATTTATGTGTACGTACATACATATTTAAGGATGCATGCATGTTTGTACCTATACACAGACACATTAGGCTAAATAGTAGCAGATATCTAAGCTTGCAAGGGAGAACCACAAAAGTCCTCTCCAGACCCAACGATCACAAAAAACAACTTCCAAAGGTTGCAGAGGGTCATCTATAACCTAAACACTACGGGCAAGCAATCAATCACGTTAAAATTAAATTATATATATATATATATACTACAAGAAAATAACAGCCAATCTTGTAACCACTGAACACTGAATTTCCCACAAGCATCAGAAGATCAGGTGCTTCTCTAAGCAAAGCCCATCACTCCCCCACCAGCATTTCTGCAACAGAATAAATATAATTAAGCAACTGAGTTCAGAGGGGGAGGATAACGAAAAGCAAAACATGACATCACCACCGCGATCAAAACTCCAACATTGAACCCTCACTCTTGCATTGCAAGCTTCTAAATAGAGTCCAGAAAGTTTAGAAGAAACATTTAAGACCCATGACCTGAGCTGTGCCTGGCCCAATTGCCAGAAAGACCATCTGAAGATTGCTCTAGCATATCTGCGAGTTCCCAGAATCTAGTGTTCAATATTCAGAATTTCTAAGGCTGTTAATAGAAGTAACTTATGAAGCTTAAGTATCACTAACTGTGAATATTCAATTAAACAATAACATGAACCCACTTATCCAATCTTAAAAAGTACTTGGGTGGAAAAAATTTGACACTGAAAAAAAAATACATAACAACAATAATAACAATCTATGGCACAGAAAAGGTGAGTTTATGTTCAAAGTGGATACACTTCCACACCCAGCAGAGAACCAATGTCAAATCAGACTGGATAAACATAAAAACCAAACAGGAAACTGTTGGGGAATTGGAGACTTGAAATAAGCACACAATTGGTTCACTATCAAGTGAGTTTACCACTTAGCAACCAAAAAATTTTTTGAGTTGCAACAATTGGACACATGCCACTATATTTCTGCATACAAAGTCTCCATCGACTTAAATAGTTACTGTAATGTAAAGGATACTCTTTTTTCGGATAAATTATCCACAAGGTCCTTATCAATACTATAATTTCAAACCAACTCGCCAGCCTTCCAGTTCTAGAGACATCGAGACCAAAAAACTTAAATCAACTTCCAGCTAGAAAATCCTACATCAACTTCCACCCAGAAAAGTAAAGCATGACCAAACAAGGCATATTCACAGAGAGAGGGA